TCTATTCCACTTGTGTTGGTTGGGATTTTGGTTCTGTTTATTTTTTCTGTTATCCTATCTTGGCTGCATTAAGCTCAGGTAGAAGGTGCTTATAGCTCATTCTCTCAGATACTCAGTGTTGATTTGTGAGTGGGGAGGCTGGGATGATTCCACTTCAGTGACTACTGAAAGGTCACAACAGACCTTCATTGAAATTCAATAATAAAACCAACCCATTAAGGAAACATAATGTCAATTTTCAGCTGAGGGTTCTATGTTTTGATGAGGATGTTTTGAATATCAGTTAAGAAACAATGTAGAAAATGAAGTGCAGCTTATAATAAAAGCATTTGGTATTTTAAAATAAATATCTCTTTGTGACTTCAGTCTTCAGCTGAGGTGTCAGATTATCTGGACATTTGCATTTTCCAGTTTGTTCATTCCCATCAATACATTGTGATTTATTTTCCAAGCAGTGTTTGGAAGCATGTTACAGGAGTTCCCAGATCAGGAGAAAATATTAATCTAGACTCAGCTATGTTGGTTAATTTATAGTGATTGAACTGATAAAGTCTGGAACTATGTATAAGACAGCACACACAACGCTAGGAATTTGAAAAGTAGAACAACAGAAAAGTTATACGAGTAGTTCTTAAATTTGGTGAGAATTTTTTCTGTAGAATAAAAGATAGGATTAACTATTTACTACATGAAAATTACAATGGTTGTGAATGATAAAATGACATAAGACATGGCTCTGAGGTCCTATCTTAAGGTCCTTAAAAATGAGATGATACAGGAAGAGCACAATCCATTTTAGTTGCAGAATGATCTTGTATATTAGTTATACAAATAACCTATCAGGATCACTTAATAGAAACACTAATCATCAGAATAATGCATTACATTAGTATTATTATGGTTATTATGATGATTATTATTATCACTATTGAATAAAAAAATGAGATGACATATAAACAGTAAAAACAAACACCTGGCACTTTGGGGGTTGTCCACACGCTTGTTAGACATGGTGAAATATGGATAAGGTTATTGGTGAAGAAGAATAGACATCTAAGTTTTTGAGGTTGGTGTGGAGTCGAGTTGAGAGGTTGATGAAAAAAATGGGAGAAATGCATGTCGTATTCCAAAGTGATGATTGTTAGTTTTGTGATTTGGAAGGGGTTTGGGCTATTGTATTAGATTACGAACAAACATCAGGTATGTGTGACAGACAGGAACTCTGAGAAAGCAATGACTCTCCTTCTGGGAATCACACAGTTGAGATATGAATGTTTGTAAAATTGAGTAGAAAAAAAGAGTTCTCCATGAAGTGTAAATGAAGATGTTACTGATTCTCAAGAAAGGAATGATTTCATTAGTAACAGTGAGACAGATCAGAGATATTCATCATTCCCTGGGACACTGGATCAGGAGTTAAACACCGTTAGTCATTATTAAATACTCTTAACTATTAAATGACATTAAAATTGTTAGTTCAGTGCTGTACTCTCATAGTCACTCTTTCAGTTCTTTCTATGAATGACTAAAACTGTTAAGAGGGGGCTGGAGAGATGGCTCAGTGGTTAAGAACACTGGTTGTTCTTGCAGAAGGCCTGGGTTTGAATCCCAGCACCCACATGGCATCTAACAACTGTCCATAACTCCCGTCCCAGGGGATCCAACAGCCTTTTCTGTCCCCTGGCAATGACACGGGTGCACTTATCTACATGCAGGCAATATACACATACACATAAATATAAAAAATAAAATATTTTTTAAAGTGGGAATTGTTGACAGGTCTTTCCATTAAACCTGGAAGCTTTGCATGGTGAACTGTCAGCCATATAAACCTTTTGACAACTGAACAGAATGTCCTTGTGGTCACTCTTTCTTTAAAAAAATTTTTTTTAATTCTTTCTTTCTTCCTTCCATCCCTTCCTTCCTCTTTCTCTCTCTTTTTCTTTCTTCTCCTCCTTCCCTCCCTCCCTCCCTTCCTCCCCCCCTCCTTCCTTCCTTCCTTCCTTCCTTCCTTCCTTCTTTCCTTTCCTCCTGTGTGTGTATGTGTATGGGTGCACACATGACAGGGGATGGATGCGAAGGTCAGTGAACAACCTACAGGGGTCTGCTCTTTTCATCCTGCAAGTGAGTCTCGGGGATCAAACTTGGGTTGTCAGGCTTGGCAACAAGCACTATTACCTGATGAACCATCTAACTAGTCCACACTGAGGACACCTCAGCAACAACAGATGACCACTAGAACCAGAGCCCAAGACATGCTCCAGTCTAGAGAACCCCAGACAGTCTGCACCAGCACTGGAAAACAGCCATGTCATATCCAAAAGAAGACGTTGGACAACCCCATACTCAACCCCTTCCTCTAGCTGTTACTTTCCTTCTACTCCTTTTCTGCAGTGTTACCTGAACTTTGGAGAGGGTGATAAGGATGTTCCATTTATGGTTCAACTTTCAACACTCAGTTAATCTCAGAACTTTGGCTAATTATGAGTCTCTGTACTACAAAAATAAGCCTCTCTAGCCAAACCTAACATCAGTACTGATCTATGAGGCATAAACACGAATATTTAGAAGGAAATTAGACAGGAATATCAGGTCCACATAACTAAACAACAGTGATAGCTTCCACACTAGGTCCTAAGACCCTCTCCTCCTAAGCCACCGGCTTTTGACCATTGGCGCTTTGACATTTTGAAAGTTCACAAGACTGAAAGGAAATAGGAAAAGTGTTTATTTACTGTATGAAAATATATATTAATTACCACAAGAATAAATAAGAAATGTAAACATTGTTTACTTCTCTCTCCTAAAAAAGGTGACTCAATCATTCATTATTGGAAATTGGAAAAATTACTTATATTTATTCCAAGTCAATATGTCTAAATCAACATTGGCTCATCAAAATAAGAAATATGGTCATTTCCATGAACATTTTCTATGTTTTAAATATTTACATACACATATATTTATAAAATAATATGACAGATCCATGTGTTGTTTATCTGGATTCAGGAATTATCAACGTTGAGGAACTGTGATTGTTCTACACACTTACAATTCCACTGTACCTCATTAAAATTAAAAGCAGGGCTAGAGAGATGGCTCAGTGGTTAAGAGTACTGGCTGCTCTTGCAGAGGACCTGGGTTTGAATCCTAGTACCCATAGGGTGTCTGTAACTCCAGTTCCAGGGAGTCTGACACCCTCTTCTGATCTCCGGAGGCATTGTATGACATGAACGCACTTACATGCAGACAATACACTCATACATATAAAAATAATAAATAAATAATATTTGAAATGAATAATTTTAATAATTTAAAATTATTAAATAAATAATTTAAATTCAATAGTAAATTTAATTAAAAAACAAATATTCTATGAGGAGTCATGCCTTGGGACAAATGATAAGTGATTAAGACCTAACAAACAAACTGCTATTCCTCTTCCCTTTTGGCCTGACAGGACTTAGCAACTCCTATCTTTGATTTCTATTTCCTATTCCTTTTAGTCCTGTGGCTATGATGAATGAACTCAGACAGAAGACAGGCTACTAAAGGTCGGTGCTGCACACCACAAACCAAAGGGAGAACACAGGCAGCAGAGCCTGTCGTTGTTCTGTACATTTAGTGCTTTTACCATGATGTGCTGTGGGGAGTTCCTGTTCTGGTCCTGTCTAATTGGTGTTCTGCGTGCTTCTTGTGTCTGTATAGTTATGTCTTTCCTTAATTTGGGAAAGTTTTCTTCTGTAATCCTGTGGACGATCAAGTCAGTGCTATTGACCTGAGATTCTTTTTCTTCCTCTATGCCTATGATGCATAGATTTTTAGATTTGTCTTCTCATGGTGTCCCACATTTCCTGCATATTCCATTCCTGTGTTTCTTTAAATTATGTTCTTTACTTGAGCAGTCCAGTCAGTCAACTTTGTCATCTGGTGTTGATATTGTTTTCCATTTCATTCATTCTGCTTGTGAGGCTTTCTCCTGTCATTTCAAATAGTCTTATTTAATTTTTCAATTCCATCTTCATTTCAGCTTGGGCTTTCTTCATTATTTCTATCTTTTATGAATTCACTTGTCAAGTCCTGAACTGTTTTTGTCATTTCATTCAATGACAAAAGAGATAGAGCTAGGCAATATCTCTATTTTCTTGTGCTTTGGTCAGTTTATTCCTATCCTCTTTGAGTTTGTTGTTTGCATGTTCTTTGATCATGTTTTTTTTTTTTTACTGTTTCATACAGAAAAACTATTTTTAATGCCACTAACACTTAGATGTTTGCACATACATCTCGAATCTCTATATGTCTGTTTATTACTGGTCACAGTTGGTTATTTTCTGAGATCCTTGGCACCTGAGCACATTTTGTGTCCTGGGATTCCTCTAGGTGGTTCTCATTATAATATACTGCTGTAGAACTGGTAAATTTTGATGGGTTTTACTCTCTTGACTTTTCATAGTGTTCGTGTTTTTGCATTGTCATTGGGTATACAAATTTCTTTTGTTGGTTGTGAATCTGATGTGAAATTCTAGTCTGCCTTTGTTTAGTTGAAGCTTTGTTCTGTTTATTTCCTTGATGTAACTTGGTTGATTTTTTGCTAGGTATGAATGGTTAGCTGGCGTGTGCTTCTGTTTCTGTTCTCACTTTTGACTTTTTTTTTTTTTTTTTTTTTTTTGGTGGGTCAAGATGATTCCAAGCTGATTAGTGGAGTGCTTTCCTGTGGGGCAAAGGGAATTAAAGGCTATGGGGGTCCAGTTGCTGGGTTCTGGCAGGCTGGTGAGGAAGTCTCAGGCAGCAAGATTATGAGAGGGTAGACTAAGGCTGGTGTGGGATCAGCATGGGGCTGGTATAACTAGCTAGGTGGAATAGGTGTGGGCCCTGAAGCTGGAGACTGCAGGGGATCAGGAGAGAGTGGATGGGGTCTGGGTTAGGAGGATAGTCCAGAGGCATGAGGAGCAGGAGAGGGCCTAGATCTAAGGCTGGAAGGCAATAGAGAGTGGAAAAGGATGAAGTTCCTCAAGGTGCGGGGGAAGCAAGCTGCAGTGGATCGGGGTCTGATTTACCAGGGTAGTATGCAGGTCTCTGACAAGGAGATCAGGAGGGGGGCCAAGGACAAGGTGGGGGTGGCTACAGCCTGGGGAGGTTCTAACAAACTAGGCAGAGTAGATGTGGGCCCTGATGCTGGACAGTGCAGCTACTCTGGATCATCTCTGATTTCTTAATGTAAGCACTTAGAGTTACGAACCTTCTTTGTGTGGTGGTTTGAACAAAAATGTCCCCCATAGGCTCCAAGTGTTTGGACATTTTGTCCCCAGATGATGGCGCTGTTTTGGGAGGTTTTAGAAGGTGTGGCTACCCTGGAGGAAGCATGTCACTGTGGGTGGGCTTAGAGAGTTCTTAAGCCTTGCCAGATCTCCAGTTGCTCTTTCTACCCCTGCCTGCATGATGATGTGAGAACTTAGTTTGTGCTGCTCCTGCTCCAGCCGCCTCCAGCCACCATGCCTCCCTGCCATGATGGACTGTAATTCCCCTGGAACCATAAGTTCAAATAATTCTTCCTTCTATAAATTGCTTGGGTCAGTGTTTCTATCACAGCAACAGAAAAGTGACTAATACACTCCATATGACAGATTTCATTGTATCCCACAGGTTTTTTGGTATGTTGTATTTCATTGTTTTTCATTTCTAGAATTTCATTATTTCCTCATTGATCCATTCACATTCCATACAGTGTTATTTAATCTCCACAGAGTTATATGGGTCAGATAGTTTCTCTTGCTATTGATTCATAGGGTTATTTCATTGTGATCAGATAGAATACAAGGAGTTATTTGAAATTTCCTATTTTTGTTAAAACTTTCCATTTCTTATATGATCTATTTTAGAGAAAACTCCATGGGCTTCTGAGAATATGTATTCTGTAATGTTGGTGTGTAATGTTCTGTAGATGTCTGTTAAGCCCATTTGATCTATGTTGCCATTTAATTAAGATGTTTCTCTGTTTATTTTTTGTCTGGATGATTGTTAATTGGTAGGAACAAACTGGGGCCATGTTAACAGTATGAGTAAATGTACAGAAGATATAATGATCATATTACATATGAGGAACACAGAATGGGAGTAGAAAAGTGATGGTAATTCATTCTGAGCAGTTACTGAAACACAATAAATCAGGTTAGGAAAATCAGATTACTCATATTGTGAATTAAATAAAGCCAATTTGGTAGAGATAGTAAAACCAGAGTGGGTGGAATCTTAGCCAGTTGCCAGGATCTATAGACTGAGAGGCTCTTGTTGCTAGGCAATTTAATCTAGAACTTAATTCTATGAGAGACAAAAGGAGGTGGGAACTCATGTTCTCTTTGTATGTAAGGTCTCAAGCAAAAATAAAATGAAAAAAATAAAATAAAATAAAATAAAATAAATAACGCTGTTCATGATCTGGGTGTTACAAAAGAGATATGAAACAAGCTATCACTAGAAAAGAAGAGGCACTGGACATTGTCACTTCATCTGCTAGTAAGTCATTCAGGAATTTAGCACTAAGGGATAGAAGCATAAATAATTAGTACATGAATAATATTTTCCCCACACCATTATTATTTTTCAGTATTTCAAACCTTATTCAGATAAAAGGATCTATATACTTATTTTTTCCTATTCTACTATATTTAATTGGTTGGGAGTTCTAAACATTTTTTGTGTTACTCATAGTTTGAATCATACTGAATTAGACAATAAATCAGAATAAATATTAGGTAGTAATTAAAGTGCAGAGAAAGAAAAATTTGATGAAACTTTAGAGAGAAAACAGAATAGACAAGAAATATTTGAAAGTCATATTTCAGGTTTCTGACACATCGAGTCATTGCATAAAATAATGTAGGAAGTACAAAGAAAATCATTGAAAATGTTCTTTTGAATGTGTTTTCCTTTGAGCTAACTGCAAGTCATGTTCATAGTAAATTATGATGGATTTGGATTGGTTAAATTGATCAACAGTGTCATATCAATAATCAACTTATCATCAGTCAAAAATTCATATTCCAAAATTATCAAATTCATTTCAAGAAAAATATGGAAAGCCATATGGTGGTGTCTACTTACAATCCCAGTACTCTCTTGGGAAGCCTGAGGCTGAAGGATCACAAATTCAAAGCCAGACCAGGTGACATACTGAAAATCTAAGGAAACTAAAGTCATGGAGAGGTAATCAATATAGGATATTATCCACAATTTAGAAATTTTACCCTTAATTTTTTTCCCTTCTTCTTGTCTGCTAGGGTCTCTTGACATAATAAGATGTGAGTGTGTATGTGGGGTGTCTGTATGTATTTATTGACTTGTGAGTGTGGATGTGAATGCACATATGGTGCATGTGCTTGAAGGCCACAGGTAAATATCAGTTGTCCTCCTCAATCATTCCTCACCTTATCCTGGAGACAGGGTCTCACACTGAACCTGAAGCTCACCAGTTTAGCTAGACTGGATGGCCAGAAAGTATCCCAAATTTACCTATTTCCATCTCTCCATCCCATGGCTGGGACTACAGATATATAGCACCAAACCTGGCTTTTCCTATGGGTCCTGGTGATCCAAACTCAGGTCTTCATGCTTGTCCCACAGTTACTTTACCTACTCACCCATCAACTCAGGCCAGTAAGTCTCTTGTGTATTGTACTTGATTACTTTCCCCAAGCCATTAAGGCATTATTGTCATTTAAAGATGAGACTAGTATTCACCCTAAGAAAAATTCCCTGATACCTATATTCAATGGCAAAGCAAAGATTCAGGGAAATATCCAATGCTGTATAAACACGTGTTCAATGAAAAATTCTTAGTTTTACAACTCAGTGTACTGTGGTTGAAATTCAATAATAAAAATAAGATAAAAAATGAAATACAGTGTCAGTTTTCAGCTGAGGTACCTGTGTCTTAGTGAGGATATTTTGAAAATCAGAAAGTTAAGGAACAACGTGGAGCTGGATATGATGGCCCACACTTTTAATCCCAGGTCTCCTGCTGCAGAGGCAAGCAGACCTCTGTGAAGTGGAGGATGGCATGGTCTACATAAAGAGGTCTAGACCAGCTGGAGCTACAGGGAGACCTTGTCTCAAAAAAAAAAAAATAATAATAATAATAAAGAAAGGGCCAGAGAGATGGCCCAGCGATTAACAACACTGACTGTCCTTGCAGAAAACCTGGGTTTGAATCCTAGCACACACTGGCAGCTAACGACTGTCTGTAACTCCAGTTCTAGGAAATCCGTCAGCCTTCTTCTGTCCTCAAGCATTGCATGACAGGGGTACCCTTACCTACATGCAGGCAATACATGCATATATATATAATAAAAATAATAATAAATGAAAAAATGAAGGGGAGAAACTATGTGAACAAGAAAGCACAAATTATTAAAAGCATGGGGTTTTATTTGAAAAAATACTTCTTTAGACTTCAGTATTCAAATAAGGTTTCATGCTATCTTATATGAACATTCTGTTTTCCAGCCACCCACTGAAAAAAATAAGCCTCTCTGAACAAATCTGACAGCAGTACTCATCTACTGGCATAAACACAAATACTTAGAAATCAATTAGACAGGAGCATCAGGTCCAGTTAGCAACAATACCAACAGCTTCCCAGCCAGGAACGATGACGTCCTATGCCTTTGACCATTGATGCTTTCATAATTTTGGAAGTTAATAAAATTGAAGGAAAATGGGGAAAGTAATGATTTACAGTATAGAATTATATATTAAGTATTATGAGAATAAAGAAGAAATGTGGGCGTGGTTTACTTATCATTCCTAAATAAGGTGATTCAACAATTCATTGAAAGAACCATTATATTTATTCTAAGTCAATATGTGTAAACCAATATTTTCTCACTGAAGTAAGAAATATGGTTACTTTCAATGAACACTTTTTAAAAATATTTTTATAGAAATGCACACACACATATATTTAGAAAACAATGTAGTGAACCCATGTACCCTTTATCTAGGTTGAAGAAATATAACAATGATGAATAGTGATTTCTTTATATACTCGTACTTTGACTATACCTCACTAAAATTGATGGACAAATCATATGTACCTTGTAGAGTTATGCACTGGGCCAAATGCTAGGCCATTTTGGCTCACAATCTGTTCTTTCTCTTCCACCTTGGCCTCATGTAATTAAGCTACTCCTATCTCTGCCACTTTTTCCCATTTCATTTAGTCCTGCTGCTCTGATGGATGAATTCAACCAGAAGACAGACCATTAAAAGTCAGCATTGCATACAACCTGGACAAAGAGAGGACACAGGCAGCAGAGCCACCTCTCACCCTCCTTTGCAATCTCATAGGACATGGTAGCTATGGGTGAGACCCTGGCTCACATAAGGATCACTCTCCTGCAGCTCTGGCTGGAGAGGTTGCTCTTTTTTTCAGCGTGGCCCCTGTCTGGGTGTGCTCAACACACCAGCCTCCCAGAAGTAGTGATACCCTTGAGGGTCACTGGAACCAGTAGAAGAATGTGGGCTGCAGGCTGGCTGTCCTATAGCCTGCACTTTGGAGGCCAGAGACACATTGTCCACATGAAGGCCAAGAAGTTTTTGGTATCTAAACATTTGTCTGTGTTCACGTACACAGACCAAGGTGCCCTCCTTGAGGACCAGCCTTTTGTCAGGAGTGACTGCTACTATCTTGGTTTTGTGGAAGGAGACCCAATATCCACAGTTGCCCTTACCACCTGTTTTGGGGGCTTTCAAGGAATACTTCAAGTAAATAACACAGCTTATGAAATCAAGCCCCAAAATGCTTCTTCCACATTTGAACATCTAATTTATAAGATCGACAATGAGGAGACAGAATTATTCCCCATGAGATGTGGATTAACGGAGGAAGAATTAGCACGGCAACTGAAGACTCAAGAGCACTATAACTTTACCCTCATGCAGAGCAGCTCCGAGGGATGGTGGACCCATAAACGATACCTTGAACTGGCATTGGTGATAGATCATGAGAGATACGTTTTTCGGCAACACAACATTTCACTTGTGTTAATAGATGCATACCTCATCATCCATGCAACAAATTCTGTTTATTATACACTAGATGTTGAAATAGTTTTACAAGGAGTTGAGATCTGGACTGAAGGAAACCCAGTGATAGTGGATAACATATACAATGTCCTTGCTGATTTTTGTGCTTGGAAGAATATCAACCTTAATGATCGTATACAAAATGATATTACACATCTTTTCATAAAATATGATTTCGGTATATCTCTTGGCTTAGCCTATGTTAGAGGTGTCTGTAATCCATTATTTAATTGTGGAGTTGATTGTCTCATAGGAGAGGACCTTAAAAGGTATGGCTATATTGTAGCACATGAGCTGGGTCATAATTTGGGTATGATACATGATAGTGACAGCTGTTCATGTGCAAAAGAAACTTGTATAATGGATCCAAAGGAAGCACACACCGACACATTCAGTAACTGCAGTTATGCTAATTTTTGGGATACCTATGGTGCTACTAACTGTATGCGCAAGGCAAAAAAACCATTAAGCACCTTCAGTGTCAAATTCTGTGGGAATGGTGTGGTTGAATATGGAGAACAATGTGATTGTGGATCTTTTCAATTGTGTACAGAAGATCCATGTTGTACAGAGGGCTGCACTCTGAAATATGGTGCTGCCTGTGCTTTAGGACTTTGTTGCAAAGATTGCCAGTTCATGCCATCTGGCACAGTGTGTAGAGAAAATGACAGTGAATGTGACCTTCCAGAGTGGTGTACTGGAACTTCACATGAGTGTCCTGAAGATGTCTATGTGCTGGATGGGACCCCTTGCCATGGTGGTGGCTACTGCTATGAAAAGAGATGTAATAACCGTGATCAACAGTGCCAGCAAATTTTTGGCAAGGAAGCCAGGAGTGCAGCTCAGACTTGCTACAGGGAAATCAACACCCAAGGTGACCGTTTTGGCAACTGTGGTATATCCAGTCATACATACATAAGATGTAATGACTCAGATGTCCTGTGTGGGAGAATCCAGTGTGAGAACATAGCAGATATTCCACGTTTAAATGAGCATTCCACTGTGCACTGGCATCAATTCAATGGTGTCACTTGCTGGGGTACGGACTACCATTTTGGGATGACCATTCCTGACATTGGTGAAGTAAGAGATGGAACAGGCTGTGGTCCAGAGCATGTGTGTGTTCATAGGAAGTGTGTCAATAAGTCTGTTTGGGCCAGTCATTGTTCACTAAATAGGACCTGCAATAATAATGGGGTCTGCAACAATAAACAACACTGCCATTGCCACCCTTGGTGGGATCCTCCATACTGTATGACAGAAGGCAATGGGGGCAGTATTGACAGTGGCCCAGCACCATGGAATACAAAGATGCCCAACAGGAATAACTTAACATTGATTATTTTAACTTTTATACCCTTTCTTTCATTGTGTGTGTTAATTTGTCTTTGGACAAGGTACATAACGTCACCTGTGAAGGAAGAGAGCATTGTTCCCGCTTCACTTGAAGAAGAATTCAATGTTGAAAGTTCTCTTGAGACAGGTTAACAACATTTTGTAATTTCCAAAAGTAATCCCAAAGCTTAATGTAATTTCCCGAAAATTAGCACATAATCCTGGCAGTTGAAACACTGCACGTGTAATAATTCACTGACACAAACTTGTAGGGGTACTTAATGTTTCAGGATCAAAACACTCAACATCAAATAAAAGATGGTTTTAATACATAATGAAATTTTACAACTTTAATCAATTTTAGTGCTCTGTGTTCACCAGTGTTTCAAGTAAAGGCCATGTCACAGCTCATGCACATGTGTGATTTCATTTTGCCTCTCTCAGTTCCAAATCACCTTTCCCTTTTACTCTGTTTGTGACACAGGTAGGGGGAGCTTCCAAATGCTTTCTCATTTCCAGCCCTCTCTAGTAGAATCTGCCCACGGTAAAGTCAGAGGGACACTGGAGACCTGGGGGAACTGTTTGACTGAAATCCCTGTCAGTGTTGCCTCAGGGGCAGCTCTCCCTGAAGGCAGCAGAAGCTTTCAGGTTACACTTGATAAAAGGGTATGGACTGGGTCATAGGAGTCTTCACATGAAGTGTGTCCCTTTGTCCTGTTGGACAAGTACTTGTCCAGTAAAACCTGCACCATGGAGGGGTTTCTAACAGTGACTATCACTGCCTTGCAACTTCTGGCTGAACAAAATGTCTGTCTGATGAATGGCAGTAAGGCGATGTTGACAGTGGCTCATAGTGGAGATAGTTGCTGACTTTAACTCCCTGAAACAAAAATGTGGTTATCCCCAGAGATACAGCACAACTATCAAAGAGCCGCCTGCAAAGTTCTTTGTAGATCTTTCAGCCAGCCATCTTTAAATTCCAAAGATTCCAGCTCCAAGTTCCCTGAATGCTCTTCAGACATTGTTGTCCCACAATCATAGAACCAACTCCAAGACGCTGGGGTGAATATCTTCTCTCTTCCTTGGGACCTCCATCCAGTCCCAGAAGTGACAGGAATGCTGTCTGGTTTGCAATGTCTGGTTATCTCAGAGGCATACTATGCTATTTTATGTCTGAATTCTGAGTGACATTGAACTTCTCTTGGTACAATGGAAAACCCAGGAAGGGGTCAGACATCAGATTTTGAAATTTTCATTACTGGGTTTTACAGTCTTGGTAGATGATTTACACTTAAAATTTCTTGAAGGATCTCTCCTCCTAGCCTGGGTACAGGCCCATTTCTTGTCTTGGCACCCCAGACACCGGGGCTAACCTCTCAGCCCAGAGCCACCACTGCTTCCTGATCTTTTGCATTTGGACCAACCCAGTTCCTCCCTGCAATCCCTAGCAACCCTCTGGACCTGGTCACACCCTTACCTCCCTTTACTTCCCTGGACAGCACAGCCTCCTGGAGCCCTGGTGCCAGGACCTTTCCTGGTCCCCAGGAGCCCTCTAGGCCTTGTCCCACCCTCACCTCCCTTTGCTTCCTGGGCTGTACAGCCTCCAGTGTCCTGATGCCAGCACCTTTCCTGGGTAAGTCCAGTGCACCTACTGCGCCTTAACTCCCCCAGCCTCTTTCACCCTCCCAACTCCTCTTCACAATAGCTGCTAAAAAAAAAAAAATCTCAGAATAAACTTGACCAAAGATATTAAAGACCTCTATAATGAAAATTCTAAATCCTTAAAGAAACAGACTGAGGAAGACATCAGAAGATGGAAGAACATCCCATGCTCATTGATTGGAATAATTAGTACTGTGAAAATGACCATCCTACCAAAAGCCATTTATAGAGTCAATGCAATGCCAATCAAAATCCCCAGGACATTTTTCACAGAATTGGAAAAAAAAAAAACATCCTAAGATTCATATGGACGACCAAAGACCTGAGATAGCCAAAGTAACACTGAACACTAAGAGCAATGCTGGGGGGATTACTGTACCAGATGTTAAACTGTATTACAGAGCTATAGTCATAAAAACAACATAGTACTGGCACAAAAACAGACCCATAGATCAATGAAACAAAATTGAAAACCCAAATATGAGTACATTTAATTTCATCCACCTAATGTTTGACGAAGGGGCCAAGAACATTCACTGGAGGAAAGACAGCATCTTCAGCAAATGGTGCTGGCAAAACTGGATCTCCACCCGTAGAAGAATGGAGCTAAACCCCTATCTTTCACCTTGCACAAAAGTCAACTCCAAATGGATCAAAGACCTCAATGTGAGGCCTGAAACTCTGAAACTGTTAGAAGAAAACATTGGAAATAACCTACAAGATATAGGGGTAGGAAAGGATTTTCTAAACCGGATATCAACTGCCAAGGAAACAAGGGCAAGAATCAACAAATAAGACCTCAATAAACTAAAAAGCTTCTGTTCATCAAAAGAAGCAACCAAGGAAGTGAAGAGAAAACCCACAGAATGGAAGAAAGTCTTCACCAGCAACACATCTGACAGAGGTTTAACATCCAGAATGTGTAACAAACTCAGAAGAATCATGAAAGGAAGTAACCCAATGAAAAGATGAGCTAAGGAACTGAACAGAAAGTTCTCAAAAGAGGAAATAAAGATGGCTAAGAAGCATCTTAAAAGGTGTTCAACATCAGTAGTAATTAGGGAAATGAAAATTAAAACCACTTTAAGATTTCATCTTACCCCAGTCAGACTGGCTAAGATCAAGAGAACAAATGATACCAAATGTTGGAGAGGACGTGGGGAAAGGGGAGCACTCATCCACTGCTGGTGGGGCTGCAAACTTGTTCAACCCTTATGGAAAGCAGTGCGGAGAACTCTTAAAAAACTACAAATGAGCCTACTGTTTGACCCAATTATACCACTCCTTGGCATATACCCAAAGAACTCATTCTATTGCAGAGACACTTGTACATCCATGTTTGTTGTTGCTCTTTGCAGAATAGCTAAGCGATGGAAGCAATCTAAGTGTCCCTCAGCTGTTGAGTGGATAATGAAAATGTGGTTTTACTCAGCAGTAAAGAAAGTGGAAATCATGAAATTTGAAAATGTATGGAACTATAAACTGTTATACTAAGTGAAGTAACATAGATTCAGGGAAAAAAAAGAAGTACGTTCTCTCTCATATATGGATCCTAGCACCAAATTCTTATAAGTGAGTATGTATCCAGACTTAACTACAGGAAGCAGGATAATGAAAACGAACCAGGGAGGTAAAGGAAAGGAAAGAATCTAAAAGAGAAGAACAGTAGAAAGCAGGTGTTAATAAGGGAGATATGGATAAAAACGGGGTTATTTTAAGGGGGGGGGAAGGTTATATAAGGAACCTAGGGGATAAAGGGAAAGAAGCTCAAGAGAGGTGGGGCCATAGGAGAAGGGTATTATCAAGGGAGAAATGGAAAAAATGGGGGCACCTTAAATGGGGAAACCATGGTGGAAGGGTTAGACAATATGAGAGATAAACAATGCCTAGCTAGTTTTAGAAAACCAGAGGGAACCATATTAGGCCAACAACCAACTGACAAATTATACATACAGTCAGATCAAAGAATGTAATCTATGTCTAGGCAAGGTTTACCTGAGAGTGTTTGGTCTTTGCCCAAGCTCTATCTACATGACACATGGTAATTAAAAGTACCAGACTGGTGGAATTAACCTTCTTGGATGTTTAACAGCCATACTATGAGGGTTATACTAATTTGGACAGAGGGCAATAAGGACAGTTTTTGCTCCTTTCCCTCCTAGGTTGACTAAGTTCCAGGGGACTATGAGCATCTCTGAAAATGTCCTGTAGCTGTGGTGAGTCACCTGTCCTCTTGTTCAAGGAGGCTGAGGAGACCTTTCCAAATGGACCTCAACTGGTGTCCAGTCTACAAAGAGGAGGGTCAACACAGAGGAAACATTTCCTCCATGCTTCCAAGCAAAGCCAGTGAAGGTCAAGTAGGACCTTTGACTTATCTTCACATAGATGGAACTGGTAAAAGGAGCCACGGGCTCCTCCCAAGCCCATGTTATCCCTGAGGAACAGATCCTCAAACAACCTTAAGAGTAAGAATAAATTGGTTTATCTGGGCCAATTGTAGGGTCTTAAACTCCCAAAAGGAAAGTATAACCAAAGATTAATGGGGTCAATATAAGTTTTAAGCATCCATATGTACAGCCAAAGGCTACATAACAAGAAACAATGCCAGACAGGAGATACCTTCCTTTGAGTTGTTGGCCAGGGTGGCCAAGAGACTCCCAGACAGTAACCCAGCATAGACCTGGGAAAATGAACAGCAAACCCTAATCTTATCTAAAGGAATATTGACAACTGATTGCTGCTAGATGAGGAAGAGCTGACCTTCCTAAAACAAGGATCTCTAGATAGGCTGACTAGATTCAGCCGATGGACAAGCACTGGGGAATGGCTGGGGTGCCAACAACACAGTGGATAGTAACAGGGATGACAGAGTATATGGGCTACAGTGTGTGGGAGGGGGGAGGCTGTGGGAGGGTGCCATTTGGGAAGTGGATATATAGATGAAGAAGACTGTGTGGGATGTTCTGTATGATATACACACACAAAAATTCAACAATTTTTTAAAAAAAGATTTATATTTGAGGAGGAAGCATAAAAATTGACTCCATGTTAATTAGTAGAGGTAATAAACATTACCATTGAATTCTACCTGATGACTTTATATCCATATTCATGTACTAAGGATCCGAGAGTAACCGACTGTCACTAATAATAATCAGATACAGAGAGATTAAAGACACATGTGCAAACATCTAAGCGTTAGTAGCATTAAAAATGTAGGAAACAGCATATTTTAAAATGAAATGGCGATCTTCTTTAAAGGGTAAAAACTCATTCAATTTTATGTCTTACAGGGTTTATATTCAGTTCAATATTGTATAACAGTATTAATTTAACTATGAACCTAAAAATTTATTGCCACTTTTGAAAGAGGTGTATCCTTGCTCTGGAAATTGTTACTGAATATGTTAAAGCTGTAATTAAATGCTTCTTCTAAAAAAAAAAAGAAAAATTTCTTGAAGTCTCTAAACAGAACACTGTAAGTGCAAATT